GATTAGTATTAGTATTCCAATCCCACCACCCAGTTTTCCGAACTACTCAACTGGTAGTCAATTTTTTTTACTACTGGTTCTCTGGGCGTGGCTTGGTGGGCGTGGCAGTGGAAGGATACTGCAAAATTCCATTCCCTCCCCACCCCACTAACCTGCTTTCCAGCTCCATTCTCCTGTGCAGAGCAACAAAAGAAGACCCAGCCAATCAGCTGGGACTCAGGAGGCAGAGAATAGATGGGGGCGGGGCCAGTCAGAGGTGGCATTTGCCGGTTCTCCGAACTACTCAAAATTTCTGCTACCAGTTCTGCAGAACTGGTCAGAACCTGCTGAATATACCACCTCTGCCACCACCCAGATACAGCCAGCAGCCATTTTAGACAGGAATACATCAGCTCAGCTGTTTTCTTCAGCTCACCTGGAATCAAGGTGCAATTGGCTTGCCCAGTTACATGATGACCCAAACAAGTAACTTTGGAACCACTGATCCCAGCAGGGAAGGGGGGGACCAGCAAGCTCTGTAATTTAGAGGCACCAATTTCCTCCTCGTCTCCAGGGAGTCCCTGGAAAGTGAGATTAGGAGCAGGCCACCCTCCAGTCCAGGAGCAGACAAAAAGTAAGGCAGAATCGTTTTGCACCGAAGTCACAGAACAACCAGGAGATCCCCAAGGAGCTTCTAGAGAGGAGTATCAAAAAAAGAGAAGAGGATGAGTATTCATGCATGCACTTTTCTGGACTTAACATTGGATTACTCATATCAAATGACCTAAGCGCCAGAGCTCACTTTAACAGCATTGCCAAAAAGGCATTAAGAGTTGTAAACCTAATCTTACAAAGTTTCTCCTCCAGTAATATTGAATTTCTAACTAAGGCATACAAAACCTTTGCTAGACCAATACTTGAATACAGCTCATCATTCTGAATCCACACTGTATATCAGACATTAATACAATTGAGCGAGTCCAGAAGTATTTCACGAGAAGAGTACTATTCTCCTCTGCTCGCAACAGGCTTGAAATTTTGGGCTTGGACAACCTAGAACTACGCATTCTATGGTTGGACTTAAGCATAGTACACAAAATTATCTGCTACAATGTCCTACCAGTCAATGGCTACTTCAGCTTCAACCGCAACAATACAAGAGCACACAACAGATACAAACTCAATGTAAACCACTCCAAACTTGATTGCAGAAAGTACGACTTCAGTAACAGAGTGGTCAATGCCTGGAATGCACTACCTGACTCTTTTTTGTTACATCCTCTAACCTCCACTCCTTTAAACTCAAACTATCCACTGTTGACCTCACCCAATTCCTATAAGTGCACCCTTGTGCCTACCGTCCCTGTCCTATTGTTCCCATTTGACAAATAAAATAAAATCAATCAATCAATAAAATAAATTAGAAAAAAAGAGGCAAAGTATGCAGGCAAAATGCTAGAGCTTGATATACTTGTATGAACCACTCCTGTCATGTCAAGCACCAGGCGTGGCATGACCGAAGGAAAAGGCTGTGAGCAATTCCTAGGAAGACCACTTAATTTTTCCAAAATGCCGGCAGGATGGACTCTGTCTGGCTATATAATATTTGGGGGCTGCTGCCTAACCTGCTGTAATCCCTTCGCTATAAAGCAGCCTTCTTTAAGTTGGATTGAGGAAGGCAGGCAAAGATCGTGAGTTTGAACCATTGGGGAGGCGAGTTCCAATCGCTGGGTATTTAGTAATGGAAGGAAAAGGAAAAAAAAACATCTGATTTACAGAGGATTGTGGGAATAATCTAGATCAGGGGTGTCAAACTCAATTTCATTGAGGGCCGCCTCAGGGTTGTGTTTGACCTCGGGGGGGGGGGGGGGGACGACCCGGGTGGGGGGGGCCAGCATGATGTCACTCATGTCGGGGCAGTGCCTGTGGTGGCCCCAAGCTTCATTCTCAGCTGGGTTGCTCCTGCACTGTTTCCACGACTGCCCTGTGGGCCAGATCCGGCCCCTCTGGGCCTGGAGTTTGACACCCCTGATCTAGATTATTGTGCAAGATGGATGCCTTCCAGGTATCTTCTCCTCATCCATATTTTGAGAATCTCCTCCACTTACAATCCCCCAAGGAAAAAGCAGAACGACCCTCCATGTTCTTTAATCAGAGGAAGGGGTCCCAGAAGTGGGGGGAATGTTTTAGCAACATCGCTAAAGAAGCTAATGAGTGGAAGTGCATTCTGCACTTCCTTACTTCAACCAGAATTTCCTTTTTGGGAAGGGGGAGGGAGAGGAAGGTGGGGTATCTCCACTGCCCCTTAAAACAGCCAAAAACATGACCACAACATATCCTGTCTCATGACGTGTATGCAAGTACAGATACATGCATCTATTGGAACTGTGGTAAACAACCTGCCCTATGAGCTATTTTTCTCTTGGTGTTCTCCATCTCTCTTTCTTTTCTATGGACCACAACATGCCTTACTTTCAAAAAACAATTCCAATAATTGATTAGAGGGGTGGGCTTTATTAGGAATCTGCAAGTCAGACCACCCATGCTGGGTTCCAAGGTGGAGTGAAGGAGTGGTGGGATTCAATTTTTTTTTATTACCGGCTCTGTGGACATGGTTGGTGGGTGTGGCTTGGTGGGCGTGGCAGGGGAAGGATGCTGCAAAATCCCCATTCCCTCCCCACCCCACTAACCTGCTTTCCAGCTCCGTTCTCCTGTGCAGGGCAACAAAAGGAGACCCAGCCGATCAGCTGGGACTCGGGAGGCAGAGAATAGATGGGGGTGGGGACAGTCAGAGGCGGTATTCCAAACTACTCAAAATTTCCGCTACCGGTTCTCTGAACTACTCAAAATTTCCACTACTGGTTCTCCAGAACTGGTCAGAACCTGCTGAAGACCCCCTCTGGAGTGAAGGTTTTGGTGTTCCAAGACAAAAGACAGAGCGAGATGCAAAAAATAAGTTAACCAGGAAGGGCTGCGAAGGGCACTTTGGCTGAAATTCTTCACCATCTCAAGTGCAGATTGAGATGAATAGTTCAGCTGGTTCATTTCTTGAAACTCGCAACTTTCTTTCCTGTAACTCAATTGCCACTTAACTTTTATCCTCCCGAAACTCAGTTACTCACAGTCAGCATTTCTAATATTTCCTACCAGTCCAACCAACTCAACATCTTCCAGAAAAGTGCAGGGACGTTCTTCTTAACAATGCACCGCATTTATGTTTCTAAAGCACATCTGCAATCACCCCAATTCAGAACCCATTTCAGGGTGGCAATTTATATGAGCGTCATTCTGAGTTCTGGGCTAACTTTCCTGTTCCAATGGCAGCAGTATAGCGCAACTCTGCTGGATCAGGAGAAAAATCCATTAAAGCAGTCACATTGAATAGGGATCAACCCAGTTTGCAAGGCTGGGCTTAATTTCCATAGGTCTTTGCTAACAGCCAACTCGGTCCTTGAATTTCTCTTGTCTGGCTGACCATAGGGCGGAGAGAAGAAGTAAAGATGGCAGAGAGAGAAAAGTAAACAATTTTATCTCTTGTTTCTTTGATTCCAGGCAAACTTCCTCCTTAGTCATAACTAGTAAGATTAGTAATTCAATAGATTATTCGATATACAGCTTCCAACCTGAAACAGGTTCTCTACTCCTGTTATATAGGAGGAGCAAGCTGCATTTTGGATTTCAAGGGTGTGTTTGCGTGTAGTAGTCTTGTAAAAAATCTTGTAACTTGGGGTATGATATAAGGTAACATCTGTAACCCTCTTCTCCAAGAGCTTAAAGCAGAGGTCCCCAAACTTGGCGACTTTAAGACTTGTGGACTTCAACTCTCAGAATTCTCCAGCCGGCTGGAGAATTCTGGGAATTGAAGTCCACAAGTCTTAAAGTTGCCAAGTTTGGGAACCTCTGGCTTGAAGGATGGTGGATTTATACATACAATCCTGAAAGCTCTTCAAGGCATTCTGGGAACTAGACTTTCTGAATTGGCCCCTTTACTACATCACAAAATCCTCCTAGTTTTTAAAGGAAGTGCTGCCATTGAAAATGCACTATATCTTCTCCTTTTCCTCCCCTTTTCCTCTCTTCTTCCTTCTTCCAGTTCTATTCAATTCGATGAAGGAAAGGACCAGGGGACACATGATAGCAAGTGTTCCAATATTTGAGGGGCTGCCACAGAGAGCAGGGGGGTCAAGCTCTTTTCCAAGGCAACTGAAGGCCACATACGGAATAATGGATGGAAAGGGATCAAGGAGAGATTTCACCTGGAAATAAGGAGAAACTTTCTGACAGTGAGAACAATCAACCCATGGAAGAGAAGTTGCCTTCAGAAGGTGTGGGAGCTTCATCACTGGAAGCTTTCAAGAAGAGACTGGACTGCCATCGGTCAGAAATGGTGTAGGGTCTCCTGTTGGGGAGCGGGGAGTTGGATTGCATGACCTACAAGATCCCTTCCAACTCTGTTAATTTGTAACTTTGTTACCGGAATTCTGTCAAAGAACAGAACTTTGGAGCTCTTTTCATATAGAGAGGATAGTGTTCCTCTACAACTCACCACAGCCAACTCACTGCAGGACAAAAGTTATACTAATATCAAAGAAATGGGGGAGTACACTCATTAAAGAAATGATGCCAAAGGAGGAGCAGAATGAAATGTGAATGGCAAAAGTTAAAATTTATTTTATTTTATTTTAAATAATTAAATAGAATTGTTCAACTATCCTGCAGTAAGTTGTCCCATGATGAGTTGGCCATGGTGAGTTGTCTCATTCCCGATGGCAGAGGAGTGGAGGGTGGGGGGTGGGGTGAGAGACAGAAAGAGGGAGGGAGGGAGAATGTACATATTTACGTTCTTGCATTATGCAACCATCTCTTTAGTGGCCTGCACCTTCCTTGGCGACCATTTATCCCAAGAGAAGAGAAAGGAATATCTTCCATGGCCAGAGGTGGTATTCAGCAGGTTCTGACCAGTTCTGCAGAACCTGTAGCGGAAAGTTTGAGTAGTTTGGAGAACTGGTAAATGCTGCCTCTGACTGGCCCAGCCAACCCCATCTATTCTCTGCCTCCCATTGAGTCCCATCTGATCGGCTGGGTCTTCTTTGGTTGCCCTGCACAGGAGAACGGAGCTGGAAAGCAGATTAGTGGCGTGGGGAGGGAATGGGGATTTTGCAGTGTCCTTCCCCTCCCACGCCACCAAGCCACACCCAACAAGCCACACCATACCCACCAAGCCACAGAACCGGTAGTAAAAAAAAATTGAATCCTATCACTGCCCTATGTGCTCATGTCTTCCAGACACACACACCCTACTCACAATAGGGGAGAAAGATAAAGGCAAAGCTCACTAACGGACAACGTTGATACGGCGGGAATTACGAAAGCGTAGCTCCGTCTTCTGATTGATAGCCAGGCAGGAATACACCCCTCCCTGATTCAGCTGCACTCTGCGGAGCTGCAGAACAGGTGAGGAAGGGACGTCACGGTCCATATTGTCAGCCACATTCCAGTAGATCTTTGCTGGGGGGTTGGAGGGTGCCAGACATGTGAGGTTGACAGTGCTGTTCACCAGCACAAAACTCCCTGCGCTTGAATCCTCCTGAGAGGACGAGACGGTAATTGTTGGGGTCTCGGGACCATCTGGGTGAAATCAAAAGAATATTAACTGTAATTGTGCAATAACTGTTTGTTTAGATACAGCCTATCGGGCTCACCTGTAGGGCTGTGGTTTATCTTTCTGGCATTAGTTACCCCAGTGTGGATCTGACAGGAAAAACAATCAGATGACCAAATTCTACTTTATGAATTCTACTTTCAGTCTCCCAAAATGTGATTTTTTTCAAAAGGTAATTGGACTTTCTTTGTTTTTGCCTGAAGACATTTTAGCTTCTCATCCAAGAAGCTTCTTCGGTTCTAGGGTAAGGTTACACTAACGGAACTTTGCAAGTCTGAACAATTCTCCTCCCATATCTTTTGCCCCTGAGAAATTAGGAAGGATTTCTTTTGATCTATGCCCCACCTACTATGTAGCCTTGGACTGTGCTGCCTCTTATCTGACCATTCCCTAGGCAGCAATCTCTTCTTCCCTACTCCCAAGGTCATTCTCACATACCATTACACCAGAGATGGTATTCAGCAGGTTCTGACCAGTTCTGGAGAATCAGTAGTGGAAATTTTGAGTAGTTCGGAATACCACCTCCGATTGACCCCGCCAACCCCATCTATTCTCTGTCTCCCGAGTCCCAGCTGATTGGCTGGGTCTTCTTTGATTGCCCTGCACAGGAGAACGGAGCTGGAAAGCAGGTTAGTGGGGTGGGGAGAGAATGGATATTTTACAGTATCTTTCCCCTGCTACGCCCACCAAACCACACCCACCAAGCCACACCACACCCACCAAGCCACACCCACAGAACCAGTAGTAAAAATCCCACCACTGCATTACACCCAGGCTATGGCATTATTGATGGATGGAGCGACTTAATTTGATGGAGTAACTATTTATTCATAGAAAAGGAGCCATATCTTCTGTGTTTTTGGCCACTCCCTGTGATACACAAAGTGTTGATTGCAAGGCTTGAAATATCTGTTCTGGTTTGCATTTGGATTGAACTTCCTTTTTCCCAAAACATTCAAAGATGGGAGATGCCAACTTCAGGGACAGCTAAAGTTGTTCCATCCAATCCTTTGCATGGCAAGTAGCAATGGAACGTCAAGAAAAAAACTTTTTAAGGGTAAATTTGTGCAACAGTGAGATTTTTTTAAAAGAAGTTCAGCTCCCATTCATGAGATTTGTCCAAGCAGGGACATCAGCCAAGGAATTATAGTCACTGGCTTAAATGGTCCATTTAACTTTACAATTCTACAGCCCTATAAAATAGAACATGTAAAACTGGTTACGTCAAGGGTGTACTCACAATAGACAGTCAGGTTGGCAGTGCCAGTGGCATTGCCAAAAGGGTTGGAGATGGTACAAGAGTAGACACCAGCATCAGTCCGTAGAGGGTCTCTAATTTGCAGGTAACCAGATGAACGCAAATAACGGGGATTATCACCCAGGCGGTGACCATCCTTGGTCCAGGAGACAAAACCATGGACGGGAGTGCAGTTGAAAGCCACTAAACCGTTTCCTTCTATCACTTCTGCAGATGGTGGGACCACAGAGATGTTGCCCACTTCCTCTAAGGAAACACACAGGTATGAGCGATCGATTGCATTTTGCAAAACAACAACAACAACAACAACAAGGCAAGGTCTCTCAAAAAATGTCCTTCAAGTTAATGAAGTGACCTGCTTCTATGGAAGTAGATTAACAGATAATCAGAGTTGGAAGGGATCTTGTAGGTCATCTAGTCCAACCCCCTGCCCAAGCAGGAGACCCTACACCATTTCTGACAGATGGGAGTCCAATCTCTTCTTGAAAGTTTCAAGTGGTGGCATTCCCACAACTTCCGAGGGCAACTTCTGTTCCATTGGTTGATTGTTCTCACTGTCAGAAAGTTTCTCCTTATTTCCAGGTTGAATCTCTCCTTGATCAGTTTCCATCCATTATTCATTGTCTGGCCTACAGGCGCTTTAGAAAATAGCTTGACCCCTTCCTCCTCTCTGTGGCAGCCCCTCAAATATTGGAAAACTGCTATCATGTCTCCCCTGGTCCTTCTCTTCACTAGACTAGCCAGGCCCAGTTCCTGTAACCATTCTCCATATATTTTAGCCTCCAGTCCCCTAATCACCCTGGTTGCTCTTCTCTGTACTTCTAGAGTCTCAACATCTTTTTTTATAGTGTGGTGACCAAAACTGGATGCAGTACTCTAGGTTTGGTCTTACTAAGGCTTTATAGAGTGGCATTAGTACCTCACTTGATCTTGACTGTATCCATCTAATGCAATTTAGGATTGCATTAGCTTTTTTGGCGGCTGCTGCACACTGCTGGCTCATATTTAGCTGGTTGTCCACTAGGACTCCAAGATCCCTCTCCACAGTTACTGCTATTGAGCCTGGTTTCACCCAGTCTATATGTGTGCTTTTGGTTTTTCTTGCCTAAGTGTAGGACTTTACTTTTTCTACATTGAATTTCATTTTGTTAGATGCAGCCCAGTGTTCTATCTGTCAAGATCCATCTTGACAATAAGATCTTTCTTGCATGTCTTTGTGCAACAAAAGTCAACACTAGGGCAAGCAGCAAACCATGATGGCCAGAACCTAGGACGAGCGTTCCCACAGAAAAAGGAGATTAAGGTTAAAATGGGATAAGGTAATTTGTGATCGCTGTGGGATTCCAGAATTATCTTGGCATATTTGTGAACCTAGGTCATCATATCATATCCTGGATTAGTGCATTTGTTTGGATGTAGCATGTGATGCTACATGGACACACAAATGTGTTTTGTTAACCAGGACTATGTTTTGGCACATGACTGGGGAGAAGAATATGGACTTCAAAATACAGCTGACTTACAGCTCCCCAAATCTATGACTATTGGTGTGCCAACCCACAGCTGTTGGGGACTGAAGTTCAACACTAACAATTATTGGCTCCCAAATTTGGACAGACTAAACATGAAAAAGAGAGGATAAATAAATCAGAAAAGTTGGCTTCCAAGATCAGGAATTCCCTTTTTAATAGGGCTGTTGAGATATTAGTGGCATCAAGGAAAGCATCTTCACAGCAATAGTATTAAAACTTGGTCTAACTCACCATAAACTTTAATAGTGATGTTTCCCTTCTGGACAATACCCCCCAGAGGGAAAATCTCCACTGAATAGATGCCGGAATCCACGGTCCTCAGGTCAGAAATATTGAGGTTTCCATACACGGGGTCCACACTGAACTGAGACTGGAAGCTGTGATCTACCTTCACTGTAAAATTAGGACGCAGGTTTCCTGTTGCCAGGATGGTTGCATTCCTTTCCCAGATGATAATAATTTGGACTTGAGCAGAGGGTAAAGAGAATGGAATGGGGAGAGAAACAGAATTCCCAACAAGCACATCCAGAGGGAAGGAAGACAGAACAGGGAATAATGGGGCTGAAAACAGAGAAAACAAGTAAGCAGTCAATATCATTTTCTCTGCTATCAATGGAAACATGAATCATTGCAATGGATGGAGTGACCTTATCTGGGTTGCAAAAATCTTCATGACCACTTGAGGGCAGCAGAGAGTTTTCTGTAGCCCTTGATTGAATGTAGTGTTTAAAGTTGTGGTGGTGCAGTGGTTAGAATGCAATATTGCAGGCGAACTCAGCTCACTGTCTGGACTCTGAAGTATGATCTGGCTCAAAGTTGATGCAGCCTTCCATCCATTCCAGGTCGGTAAAATGAGGACCCAGATTGTTGGGGGCAATATGCTGAATCTGTAAACCACTTAGAGAGGGCTGTAAAAGCACAGATATATATATAAGTGCTATTGCTATTCAGACTTTTGCAGTTCAGATATGGTAGCCCTTGCAGAGGGAGAAATAACTCTTCCAAAAGGCAATATCAAAATTAAATGAAAATTAAACTGAGAATTTTGGGAAGATAGGAAGCTAGACGAAGCCCTTTAGCCCAGCTAGATGGATCAGTTCTTCCTTGTATTAATCATCTTCCCATTATGGTATAAAGCCATTCCTGCCTTCACTCTATTCAATCAAATGGTCAGTTATTTACTTTTAAAAAAACTTGCTAACAACCATGGAGTTTTTGCAGCGGACATAAAAACATTTTCCTCCATCTGCGTCCAAACTGTAAATCCAAGCAATGCCAATTTAAATAAGTGGCTATCTCAAGCAGTAGCTTCTGTTCGTGTGAATATAAATAAGTAAATAAGCAAATCAACACATAATCTTTCTTATATTCCTTCCACTTTCCTCATCAACTCTCTACACTGACACTTAACCAATTATCTTTGTCCTTAGAATAACTTAGAACTAAGGAGAAATTTCCTGACAGAACAATTAATCAGTGGAACAACTTGCCTCCAGCAATTGAAAATGCTCCAACACTGGAAGTCTTTTAAAAGATGTTGGAGAACCATTTGTCCGAAGTAGTATAGGGTTTCCTGCCTAGGCAGGGGGTTGGACTAGAAGACCTCCAAGGTCCCTTCCAACTCTGATATTCTATTCTATTCTATTCTATTCTATTCTATTCTATTCTATTCTATTCCATGGGCCATAAAGATTGCTTAAAGACTGTGGAAGAGAGATAACTTCCCTGTTACAGGTTCACACAAAATAACATATTTTTAAAATGGATAATCAGCCACATGACCTGGCTCTTGCCAAATGTCTAGTTTTTTAAAAACATGTACAAACATCAACATTCAGGCATCATTATTTCAAAATAACTAAGCTTGTGAAGACAGCTTCAAATATTGCTGCCCGTGGTCACATTTAAAACTCGCTGGATTTGGTATCGTGTTGCAGCAGTCTCAGGCTTAAAAATGTTGGCCTTAAACCTTGTTTAAGTATAATCAACTTGCCCTCTGTTTTTCCAAACATGGCCAGTTTCACAGAGTTGTGAAAAAAGCAGGGTGTAACGTACTAACAACATTAGGCTGTGCAGATTTGAAAATGAGTAGGATTTTAGAATTTGTTAATCCAATATTTTCCCATCTATTTCATTCCCAAGCCCAATTACCATAGTTAATAGAAAGGGAAATAGGATCCTTCCTCCCTCCCTCCCTTCTCTTTTTCCTTCCCTTCTTTCTTTCTTTCCCTTTACTGAAATAAGAATTAAGAATCCTTACTACCACCTTCAATTTAACTAGAGAAGGAAGATAGAATAGATTTTTTTGTTGGCCAAGTGTGACTGGACACACAAGGAATTTGTCCTTGGTGCATAGGCTCTCAGTGTACATAAGAAAAAAATATAAAAATACATTTATCAAGAATCATAAGATACAACACTTAGTGATAATCATAGGTTACTAATAATCAATCAGATCAAATAAACACTGCCTTTCTGTAAGATCTTAGGCTGAATGAGGCTGGTTTGAGGCTGAGCATAACATGGGAACTCAATTGAAGTGGCCAAACAACAACAAAACATGAAAAAAAGGTTTCTTTTTCCACCACCTTCTACCCTCATTTTTGTAGCCTCAGCTTTCTCTTCTAATTAGTTGTAATGAACATTATATAGTCATGAGCACTGATATTAAAATTCAATCCCCAAGCTTGCCAACAGCTGTTTTAAATTTGTATACATTTAAATAAATTAAACTTCTGTTAAATAATTTACTTTTACAAGGCAGGCCCATCATCACCATGGCATTTTACTAGAAAAAGAAAGCTGGAATCTCGTAATAAGTAATATAAAGGATTGCCATTTCAATTCTATTCCTCTATGATTATTTCCCCTAAGAGATAAGCTTACAAAAAGAAAAAAAAACCCACATCCCTTCATGCATCAAGATAAAGTTTAATCGGTTTCTTTTATGCAGAAGAACAGACAAGTATATTCTTACAGTACATAGCAAATGTAAGCGGTGTTATAATATTAAATTCCTACCCTGGGCACTAGATCTATGTTTCTGGCAACATTAAGATATATGCATTCCCAGAATTCCCCGGCCATCATACTGACAGGGGAATTCCGGAAGTTGAAGTTTACATGTTTCAAGTTACTAAGTTTGGAAAAATACTGCATTAGATTATGCTTTAGGTTATCTTCCGAACCTCACATTTGATGACATGAAGGACTTCTGCCTGGTAACTAATTAAAAAGGCCAGAGGACTAAGATCTGGAGAACTTGTCATACGGTAGACAGTTCTCTTGAAAACAGCTTACCTCCATCTTGACTGAGAACATCTCACAGACCCAAAACCCTTCCTCTGACACATCATCACCGCCACAGACCAGTTTAAACATGGAAGAACAACTCTTTGCTAAGCACAACCCCCTTCATCTTGCAGACAGCACCGAACCCAACTTAAACCAGTGCTTAAACCCAATGCTATGTGGTTTTAGGAAGCTCCAAAAGGCCGTGTAAGAGCATGGTCCTTGTGCACAGATTCTGGAAGTTTCGGAGGCCACGTAAGGGTACGCCCCATTCACACGCAGTCTCTGCAGCTTCTGAAAGTCACACGAGAGTGGGATGACTGTGGAAATGTACCCGGGGTGGGCTTCAAAAAATTCAGCAAAGGGGACTCTGCCCGGTTGCTGGGTGGGCATGGCCATGGAGGGCATGGCCTAGTTGGTCTCCTGCAACATGGTGGGGGGGTGTTTTTGCCCTCCCCGGGCTCTGGAAGCCGAAAATGGGCCTGTTTCAGGTCTTCCCGAACTTCCGGGAGGCCCTTTTTATGCCCTCCCTGAGCCTCCGTGCGTGTCCTGCACTTACCTGCATCCAAAATGGACCACGCGGGGACTCCTGGGAGGGGCAGGGCAGGGTGGGCAGGGCCAGCCAGGAGTGGGATTTGGGGGCTCTCCAAACTATGCAGAATCTTAACTAGAGGATCTCTCGAACCCCTGCGAACCCCCAGCAGCCACCCCTCAATGTGCTTTTCAGAATTGTTAGCGTCAGATGTTGGTGAATGTTAGTGTGTCATCTGAAATGTCATTGCATGTCACCTTTGGCATGCATGTCATAGGTTCGCCATCACTAGGCTAGACAGAGCCCTCCGTGAAGTTAGAGCAGGGGTGGGATTCTACAGGTTCGCACCTATTTGCTAGAACCGGTTGTTAACATTCTAAGCAGTTCGGAGAACCGGTTTTTAGAAGAAATTACTGGTCTAATCCTGTAAGGAAGGCAGGAAGGAAACATTCTGGTGTTGCTTACAGAAACTGCTTCTCCGTTAACCCTTATTACATTCTTGGCAGGACTAGACGTCCTGTCTCAGGAACTTCTCTGGAGGTTATTTTCCCCTCCTTTGCTAGTACTTTGCTTGTGTGGAGTGACCATTCAGTTACAATGGCACTGAAAAAAGTGACTTATGGCCATTTTTCACACTTACGACTGTTGCAGCATCCCCAGTCATGAGAGGCCAGGCGAGGAGATGCGTGCCTCGATGTGAGTGATGTTGAGTTGGTCACGCCCAGCCAGTCACATTACCACCAAGCCACGCCCACCAACTAAGCCACACCCACAGAACCAGTAGTTAAAAAAAATTGAATCCCACCCCTGAGTTAGAGGACAGATGAAAAACTAAAGCCATCCCCTCTTTTAGTTATCTCAAGAGCACTTAGACTTATATAGCGCTTCAAAGTGCTTTAGAACCCTCTCTAAGCAATTTACAGAGTCAGCCTATTGCCCCAAAACTATTTGGGTCCTCATTTTACCCACCTTGGAAGGATGGGAAGCTGAGTCAACTTTGTGCCGGTCAGGATCGAACTCCTGGCAGTGGGCAAAGTTAGCTTGCAATACTGCATTCTAACCACTGTGCCACCATGGCTCTTTTAAAGTGGATAATTTGTATTTTTAGAGTTTTGTTTTTATTGTATGCATTTTTGTATTTTTAAAATTCTTTTTTAACAAGTTGCCCGGGGTCACATTTCAGCGAGATGAGTGGCAAACAAATGTAATTAGTAATTTTTAATAAATAAAAATAACTGAACAAAGCAGCCTGCCAAATCAAGTCTCTGGGTATCGAGGTGGAGTGACTCAGTTTTCAGCATGGAAGGACCACTTAGAATTAATGGCTGGAACTATCTGGATCAAAGGGATGCCTCCAGGCACACCTGAGACTTTTTTACACACACTTCAAACATGAGTGAGATACACCCCAGGTAAACTTTTAGTTTCATTGTCCTAGTTCAATTATTCCTCAATCCTGTGTTTTGTAAGGGTGGAAGGTGAAAACACTCCTTGCCAGGTTGGGAAACAAGAATGTTAAGAATGAAACAGGTTTGCCGGCCATTCTAGAAGTGTTTTCAGTTTAAGATTGACATTGTTTGACCTTAAGAACCCTTCCAAAATGATATAAAAAAAAACCCATCAACCCTTCACTTCGACCTCAAGTTACTACCATGCTCAAGAGATTTTGAAATGTTTTGCACAACTCAAATGCTTGGTTTGGTTTTCACTTAATATGCTGTGTGAACTCAACAAGTTGTAGCTTATTCAACTAACCATGGCTTAGCACAGTGAGAATGTTAGGAAGGAAAAGGATTAAATCTGACAGCTGAAGTTGCCTCAGAATGAACTGAATCGCTTTGCTTATTGAATTATTTCCCTGTGACAGGGATTGCTCCGCCAACAGGCAATTCAAATGGATCTTCCTGATTTTTTGGGGGTGGGGGAACAGCTATAATTATATATTATAATATGAGCCTCTCTGGCGCAGTGGTTAGAGTGCAGTACTGCAAGCTACTTCTGCAGCCAGCTGCCTACAATTTGGTAGTTCAAACCACACCAGGCTCAAGGTTGACTCAACCTTCCATCCTTCCGAGATGGGTAAAATGAGGAACCAGATTGTTGGGGGCAATAGGCTGACTCTGTAAACCGCTTAGAGAGGGCTGTAAAGCACTATAAAGTGGTATATAAGTCTAAGTGCTATTGCTATTGCTATAACATCTTGTCATTTCAATGCTCTAATGTTTGCCATGTCTGGCCAAATTCACACCTATTGTACTAAAACATAACTTAACCCATGAAATCAAATCACTTTGCTCCCAGCACCTCATCTACCTCACTACAATCTGGTGGGTGGTCTTCAGCACCCTTAGTGGTCTTGATCTCATTCCACCGTCTGTGTAGCTCCTGCCTGAAATTCATCTCCACACATCTAAAGGACAGGTGATGAAATGTATAGACTGGCCTCATCCCCACATAAATATATATGGGGCAGAATGTCTGATGGAAATCCAAGATGAGTTCAATCGTTTACGATCCATCGACTGAGCACCTCAAAGAAGTAGGACTCTGAAGCTGAAGGATTTGTGCAAGTTCATGAGAACATTGCTGCTAGCCGTCTACTCTCCTGCATTAGATCTTCCACCCAGTACAGGTCAAAATGGATAGGCAACTAAGACAATGACATCAATGGATGAGCACAACTCTACTCCTTTCCCTACATCCTTTGAACCTATTTTCTGAACAGGCCTAATGTTGAACACTTGAAGGTTCATAGGGTGGTCGGTCTCTCTTCTCTTTTCCTGGCCTTTAAGCCTACCTGAGAATACAAAATAGCAGTCAAACTAAGACTTTTATGGTTCCGCATTGCGTGATGCTGTTATCCCAAGCTTTTTATGGCTTCCCTTAACTTAGGGAGCCATAGAGTGACAAAATCGACACTTCCCTCCTCCCTGTTTGGCTGAAAATTTATTTATTTATTTATTTGATTTGCCAATTGTTTACAAGATAATAAGTATAAATGTATACATAGTTGTGAATACATGAAATGGGTACATATAAGAAAAATAAAAGAATAAGAGAAACAATAGGACAGGGACGGTAGGCACGTTGGTGCGCTTATGCATGCCCCCTACAGACCTCTTAGGAAAGGGGTGAGGTCAAATGTGGCCTGCCATGCCACGAAGCCCATCTCCATAGCGTCCTCCCATCCTCCTTCCATTTTCTCTTGCAAGTCCATTTATTGCCTGTCTGCAGCACCACCAAGGAGAAGCAATCGTCCTCCGATTGATGGACCCAGCCTAATCCCGACCCTTCTTTTTTCCATCTCCAGCTCCTTTGAGCCATCCATATAAACAAACCCTGAAGCCAGCAGGGCCTCCAGGTCTGAGCCCTTGTAAATTAAAAGCTGCACAACAGCATCGGCCACACGCCAGGGGCTGCATTAGCAGGAGCTGTGTGAGAAAAGCCGGGAGCCAGCGGGGGAAGACGACAGGAGAAGATGGATGAAAATTGGCTCAGTGGGAGCCAAGCAGCTACCACACACTCTAATGGATGGGCCAGCCCCCTAAGGGGAAAGAGAGAGGGGGTAGGGATGGGAGAAGGCCATAAATCTAGCAGGACGGGGTCGTTGGGGGATGAACAACCAAGTTCCCCTGTGCTGGGCTCAGGTTGAAGAAGGCATTGATCGAAAGGTGGCTATCTTTTAATTGCAAAGGTTTCTCCCCCCCCCTCCCACACACACTTCTTCATTTGAGCTTAACAGGAAGAAATCAACATGGGGACACTTTGGCTAGGACGAAGGAATGGAAGAAGGCTGGCTGCCTGTCCTGTTGCTGTTAAGGAGGCCACCAACTCGCTTCTATCCATCACTAAAGAAAGGTGACAACTGAAGGTGGGAAAGTCTAGACAGAAAAGAGCAGAGATAAGCAGGTAGAAATGCTATTCCTAGACCAGGGATGATGGGGTCCTTTAATGACTTGTGGACTTCAACTCCCAGAATTCCTGAGCCAGCCAGTTGAAGTCCACAAGTCATCAAGGGGCCATCGTTCATTTTTGGGTCTCATGGAAAAAGAACTGGAGAAAAAAAAATGGAACTTTGTTACTATATATGTTGACGGCAGCAAGACTATTGTTTGCATAAAAATGGATATCTACCATGGAAGAACGGTTGCAGAAGTTGATGGAGTTGGCCGAAATGGCAAAAATGACCACTTTGATTAAAGAAAAGAACACAAGTACTTTTGTTTCCACATGGAAACCGCTTCTGAACTTCATGCTTGATGTGGATAAGAATGTAACTCTGACTTGGGGGTTTACAGATTAGACTGATAGATCTTTATAGAAATGGCTTGTTCATACCATTATGGAAAAGCAAAAAGCTGTGATTTGATGCTAATGCCTTATTCTACTGCAATAGAGAAAGTCAGCAGTCGATGCTTCTTTTTCTTTTCTTTTTCAATGACGACGACAACAACAACAACAATAACAGCAATAACAATAAATAACACCAACAATAAATAACAATAACAATAATAATGGAGCCATAGTTCCCCACCCCTGTCTTAAACAATCACACATGCGCCACCATTACTATCCTCACATTGCTTTCAATGTGAAAAGTTCCATCAGGCAACTTTTTAAAAATTAGTGTTGGTTGCCTTGTTCCCAGAGACAAGGAGATAAGTCATGGCTCACTTACTGAATGAGATACATGCACACAACATCACTAAGCCAAAGGCTGGGGCTTGGAGTAAACCAATTGCATGAACAGCTTTCTTTTTCCAATGTACATTGGTTACTTTTTCCTAATGAGATTCAGGCTAGATCTGAAAAGTCAAGGTAAAGATGACATCTTCCTTGAGTTGAACTCAACCACCCATGATTAGAAGTACACCTTCTTTTGTTGGGAAAATACAGAAGGTTTTGCCATTGTGTCCTTCTGGAGTGTTTCTTTCACTTCCCCAATCTAGCCTACAACCCTGGTTATTTCCCAGCCATAGTCTAATTAGGGCAGTGTTTCTCAACCTTGGCAACTTTAAGATAATGTGGCTTTCAGAATTACCAGAATTCCCCAGCCAACATGCTGAACTAGGTGTTCATTTAAACCGGGGTTTTCAGTGTACTAACCTTAACCCTAAC